ACCTGATTCTAGAGAAGTGAAATAACTGGAGAGACAGAATACCAGGAATAATCCAGGAAAAATTACCTTTTTTATGTAAATGCTTTAATATAAATTAAAGGGGGGGATAGTTTAATTCACCCACACTTGCAAATGCTGTCCTAACTTCCTGGGCCTTGGTTGCATGACATACTCTGTTAATGCTGTTTATCCTATGTCTGTCTGTCTGTAAACAGGACATATGACTGCAGTTTTGAGCGTACATAGCATGCTACTATTTGTCTAGTGATCTCAGGTAACACCACAAAGCCATGTATCTGGCTGCAGTACAGACAGACGTTTCAGTTCAGTGCACTGGTTTCTTGGACTGCCTCTTGCTCCCACGTTCAGGTTGCTGGATTTTTGCTGCTGCAGGTACTTTATCTAGTTAGATTAAAGCCAGCATGCAGATGCTTACCTGTACTAGAGTCCCAGCTCCTGTTTTGCTTACTAAAGCATACCATGGAGCACTGCAAGCCACAGCACAAGGCAGGACTGTATCACACCTACAAGCAGTTCTTGAGGTTTCATAGAATCATAGGATCATTTAGGTTGGAAAAGACCTTTAAGATCAAGTCCCACCATTAACCTAGCACTGCCAAGTCCGCCATTAAACCATGTCCCTAAGCACCACATCTACACGTCTTTTAAATACCTCCAGGGACGGGGACTCAACCACTTCCCTGGGCAGCCTCTTCCAGTGCCTGACTACCCTTTCGGTGAAGAAGTTTTTCCTAATATCCGATCTAAACCTCCCCTGGCACAACTTGAAGCCATTGCTTCTTGTCCTATCGCTTATTACTTGGGAGAAGAGACCAACCCCCACCTCGCTACAACCTGTTTCAGGTAGCTGTAGAGAGCAATAAGGTTTCCCCTGAGCCTCCTTTTCTCCAGACTAAACAACCCCAGCTCCCTCAGCCACTCCTTGTAAGACTTGTTCTCTAGACCCTTCACCAACTTCATTGCTCTTCTTTGGACACGCTCCAGCACCTCAATGCTCTGAAGGCCCAAAACTGAACATAGTATTTGAGGTGCAGCCTCACCAGTGCTGACTACAAGGGGATGATCACTTCACTTGTCCTGCTGGCCACAGTGTTTCTGATGCAAGCCAGGATGCTATTGGCCTTCTTGGCCACCTGGGCACACTGCCAGCTCATATTCAGCCTACTGTCCATCAACATCCCCAGGTCCTTTTCCCCCAGACAGCTTTCCATCCACTCTTCCCCAAGCTTGTAGCATTGCATGGGTTTGTTGTGACCCAAGCGCAGGTTTGCTGTGTTTTAGTGCTTCCTGTGGATATCTCCACAGGTAAGACAGGGAAGTATATAGATGTGGATTTTAATAATACAGGCCATCTAGCAACTTTGATTTTTTTGGTCTATGGGCAGTGAAATCTTCAAGCCTAGGGTCAGTGGTGAAGAACTGATAAATAACCATTTCAGGATTAACCTGGCAAATGACTTCTCAAATTGACACAGATGTACCACAGCAGAACGCTGCATCATATGCCCATCACAGTAAATGCCTCTTAATTGTTTGCCATTTCAAGTTTGCAAACAGAAAATACAGCTCAGTAAAATCACACCAGTGTTAAAATCACCATACTAGTCATTTGCATGACCTGGTGCAGAATTAGCATAAGTTTTTCACACAGAGAAGAGTAATCTTTTAAGCAGAAATCAAATTATACTAATGAAATGTTTGACCGAAAGCATACTCTAGTCCATTTAGCATGGACTAAAAGCAAAGAATAAAGGAAGCTTGTGGAAGGATAATTGCAAAACTAGTGGAACCAGGAAACATCTGACAGTTAATACTTGATCGTTTTTTCTCTTCACAAACAGATTGGTTCTGCTGACCTTATTATTCTTGACTGTGATATACTCACAAAGGTCTCACTGACACTGCTTGAGTAATGTTAATTTAAGAAAAGCTCAGATAAATTGTTACATATTGTACTGCATATTTAAATTGCATCCAAAGAGGAGGAGATAAAAATAGATGGTTTTGCAGCCTCATTTTGGTCAGTTATTACATCTACACAAATCAGACCACTGTATTTGATCTAGCCAAATGTACTTAATTTACCCAAATATTTGTAGTAATAGGATATTTTGGTTAAATTATCCGAGTTTTAAAATTTGTTACTCTAGCAACATACACTATAGAGTGAAATGTCTGACTGTCATCTTATCAAATTATTTCTATCAGGAATATAAGTACTTGAATTGCTGATACTCCTGCCCAAACTAAAAACAGGCCAAGTTTGGCCCTGATATAAGTAGGTATATTTTGTTGGAAGGTGCTTAAACAAGATTAAGTGTTGATATAGCTATATACTTAGTGTAGGAGAAGGTAAGAAAATAAAAGTGATAAAACAGGCTGTCTGTAATAAAATGCTGTGACTACATATGCTGCTGCTTTTACTCTGGAATGATTCATACCATTTATACATGCATGTTTCTGTTGTAAAATCTGTCCCAATAGCCATTTTCCAGGATGCTTATAAATGTGCAACACTCCTAACTGTTTCTCTCTGGTGTACTTGCCATTGCATCTTAGCAGCTTGAATTATTAGGTACTTTCTCCTCATACCATCACCTGAGGAAGTATTATGAAAGTCTACTGTTTTGTGCCAGGTCAGGAACTGGATCACAGAGACTCACCTACAGTTGCAGAATAAATGTCTAGGAAAGCAAGGACCTGAAACTGAGTTTCAGTTCACTTTTTCACTTAATTTTTTGCCACCTGCATGGTGAGAGGAGGCCTCTATAGTTTCTCAGTTGTAACTACTCAGTGCCAAAAGGCACTAAAGTCCAAATCTTTAGCATTTGGACAGCCTCTTCCATGCTTGTTGTTTGGCATGCTTGATGGGCAAACATTTTCAAAACTGCAGAAAACAAACTGTAGGTTGTTCACTTTGTGGTGGTGCTTCTGAATAAGGTAAATTGCTCAGTCTAAACAGCTCTCCTGGGGAAATGACTGTCCATGCAATATCGTACATTAATTTTTCTGATCCTGTCTGAGGTGTAAAGCATATGAAAACAGTCCAGACGTGTATTACTCTCTGAATCATCAAGAGCCCCTTGCTACCCAGCAGTAAGCTTTGGAGCCCCTGGCTGTGCATTTGCATTCACAAAAGTAACCCAGATTTGAATAACAGCACTGATGCCAAGGTGATGTTGAAACCAAGTAAGACCACAGGCTGGTGCTCTCAGCATTTTAGGAAAACTGCACAGGAGACCATTCTTCAAACCTACTGCTCAGTATTTATATAGCAGGCAAGAGCAAAGAAACACTTGTATTTGGAGTAGAAGGCAATAAAGTTTATAAATCCTGTGACTGGCGCAGAGCCTAAAGGGTCCTGTGTTTGATCCCAGAGTAGGCGTTTACCTGTGAAGATTTAGTTATTGACCATGTTCTTTACGTCCAGTTAGGTGTTCAGGTAATGGAATATTTCATTCCTCTTTGATTTTTGCTTTCTGCTGCTTCTCACAGGCACTCAATCTGTCCAAAGTTGTTTTTTCTTTCTTCATTTTGCTTTCTGGCAGAGCCACTAGAAGAGGTTAAGTGTCAATGAGTTTCAAGAAATCCCTAAGTGCTCTAGTTCTCCACTCATTTACACCGCTGTCAGAGCACTGTGGCACTGCTAACTTGGAATCATTCCTGATTGACACAAGGGGAGAATCAAATTCTGCCTATGCTGTAGTTCTGAATGTGACTGATACTTGGATTTTGTTGTTGCTCAAAAAAATAAAACACTGAGAAGTACATCTCTTCTTTCAGGTGATTAAAAAAAAGAGATTGTTTTTTAAGCATATGTATTCCTCACTAAGAATTTGAAGGTAGTTTTATGTCCCTTTTAAAGTTTTATGTATTATGACTGTTCATTTCCCATATGATGTAGAAAACCAAAACCAAAATGTGTTTGATGAAAAGTCTCCACTAGAAAAACCCACACAACCTTCCCCCCCACCCCCAACGTTCTGCTTGATGTCATCTGTGTCATCAGTTTGGAAAGAGGTAGTGACTTAACTTTCTGACTCTTGTTCATTTTGTAACCCCTGAGATGAAGAGTCCTGTAGAATAAATATGTTTATAATTGTCATCAGTGTAGGATTTCTCTAGGGTTTGTGAGAATATTTGCAAACCATATAGTTTCTTCATAAATGTATTAATTACATTAGCAACATAAAAACATGCATAATTTGCTTATGAGTATTTTCCTTTCTTGCTTGCTTAAACATTCAAGTTCCAAGAGAGCTGCAGTTGTCTTTCCTGAGTGAAATACTCCCTAGGTCTGCATTTTGTGTGAGAAATGACCGATGTCCTCCAACAAGACATAGGTTGTGCCTGGATTGTTAAAGACTGCAATGTGAAAAGGGAAGGAAAGGGAACCTCTCAGAGGTTTAACCAAACAGATAAGTCTTTTGCATTAATAGACCATTCTGTTAGATAAATCTGAAGCAAGCTGAAGTTAAACCTTGCACCCTGCCTGTGGCTCTGGGTGTTTGACCTTTGCATCACTTTTTTGTTCTAAGCAGTACCTTACACTGCTTTGATGTGCACATCCTATGTGAAGAAACCTTTTTCCAGAACAGCTGCTGAACAGTGTGTCAAAAGGAAGCTATCCTGGCATAAACTGAACCAACATAAGTAGTGACAGACAAGGGCAGAACTTGAGTAAAAATAGGAATTTTAGCACCTTTTTCAGATGTCTTTCCTGTATTCTACTTCTTGTGTGACTTTGTACATTTGTAATCATTTTTCTAGATGCAGATGTTTTTCTGTTATAGCATCTGTCTTGTGTTAAAAGAAAATGACTCCTTACAGCATATTTGACTTGTATGTCTCACATCGATTTATTCTCCTAGCATATCTAGAAATGCTGTTCATACATGTTTTACTGTGATGCAGCTGGAAGTTTCTATGATGAACATAGAAATAAATTTCTCACTTTTTCCCTCCCCACTTTTAACCAGGTAGACAAGAAAATCGTCCGCACGGAAATTGGAGTTCTTCTTCGCCTTTCACATCCAAACATTGTAAGTTGAGCCTTGTTCTTTCACTCCACATTTGTTTCTTTGTTGTTTTTTTTTTTTTAAATCTTTCTGAGCCTGAGAGATTGCCATTGTGGTTCACCTATACAGACTTGGAAGAGTCTTGGATTAAAGCTTTGGGTTCTCCTCATGAGCATGTTCACAGCTCGTTATGGAAGACTGTTGAGTTATACTTACACTTTTAAATAAATTACTCATGATCTGACAGAGTTGAGTGAGAAACTATGCAAAAGAAGTTCTGTAAATGAAAGGGGAAGTTGGTGTTGTCAGTCCTTGGAGGGTGGGGAAGGTCTTACATTCAGTTACTCCGAAATATTGGCAGGCAGGTGTTGACAAGCACTAACAAAAGCAGCTTCCTAAACTTCTGTGCTTCACAGGGGTTGCTGAGGTATGAGGAGTATGAAAATAGGAAAAAAAAAAAAGAGGTAATGCAAAGTAGATAAAACTATCAAAAAAGAGAAAGGTGGGAGAGAACATGCACAATAACTTGCTCAACTGCAAGGTAAATGGTGCTCCAACTTCAGCTGGTACCATCCTCTGCTTTATTGACTGTGATCTGTTTCCTGCTGTTGGCCTTGAGATATGATCAGTAAGAAGACAAATATGCAAAATGAATCCTTTTTGTTATCTTTTACTAGATAAAACTGAAGGAGATATTTGAGACCCCTACAGAAATCAGTCTTGTTCTGGAATTGGTCACAGGTGGAGAACTATTTGACAGGTAAGTTACCTGTACGCACCTCGCTCAGTACCTTCCCCAAGGATGTTAAAGTCCAGATTTCTTCTCTGCTCATAATCCCTGTGTTAGCAATTACTGGGATTATTTAATCAGCATATGGGTTATTCACATGAGTAAATATCTGCAGGAATTGGCTTAAAAATGTGTTTGGAAATGTGATTATCAGGAGATTTTTTTTTTTTTGAAAGGATACATGATTCGAAAATGGAGGAAATTGTCAGTAGATTCTGAAGAACACACACTATTGAAGGAAGGTGCTCAGCAGGTGCGTAGCACCAGAGAGTGCTAGAGCAGACAAAAGGCAGGAAAAACTGGCAAAATTGCATTGACAGGTCATCATAAATATGGTAGGTGGCAATCAGCCTGACAGGAGGATAATGTTATGTCAGATAAAAATTTGGTAAGCAGAATAGCAAGAAATAAATTCTCTTTGGTATTCATTGTATTTATAAAATCTCTGTTTTTGTTACAAAGATTCTGCAAGACAACTATTGAGTTCTGAAGGTATTGCTTGTAAGGCTGCACATACTTGTGGTGTAGGTGCATATGCATAAAGCAAAATAATTCTGTAATAGTGTTGGGGCGATATTTTACAGGTAGGGATTTGGTTTTTTAGAGCAAGAGAAGATAAGAAGAGCATTTGATACTGGCTTGAGTAAATCAATTAATTCACTGGCATTGGTGGTTTCCAACTCATGTAAGGACAGGTTATTTGATCTTCCTTCTTCTGTAATTAAAGTTTGGTATTTTAGAGGACTGTTATACAAATACGCATCAGAAACTCAGTCTGAAAGTATCTTTGACTTGAGAAAACAAAAACGTACTTTTTTGGTACCATGGTCATAGCTACAACCTTGAGATGAACTATTTCTGAACAATAACAACAAAAGCAACTCATCTTGTAACATCTTTAGTTCGACAGAAGAAAGGTGGATACTCTCTCAATACTCAGCCAAAGCAATCAGGAGAAACATGCTGCAAGTTGAACAACCAGCGAGCAGCCAGTCCTGAGCTAGAGGACCTTGCACAAGATGCCTTAACTTTCACATAGCCCTTTATATATCCACGTGGTTTTAGATTGGGTGTTTTTCAGGAAGGCTGGATACTCTACAGGAGTCTTTGGTGCAAAGAGTTTGTAAAGGGAAAACACAAATATGCCAGTGAAATGGTTGGCTCCTGACCAGCAACCATTTGTGTGGTAGAAGAACTGAAGATAAAAGGCTCTGGGGGATCCAGGATGGGGAATTGCATTATTTGATGGAACTAGGATTTAATATCATGACATTTTCAACATTCTGTAATCTGTACTCAGCAGTGATTATGAGATCTGAGCTCTCAGATTGATCTTTCCCAAAAATTGTATGCTCTGTCCAGTAGTTTGGCTAGGACGAGCTGTCTGGCATTGCCCGAGGAGAAGCAGAGCCGTTTAGTCACTTACTAGAATTGCAGTGCCCCCTTGTGATGCTACAAATGAGCACTAATGCTATGGAGGTCTTCTGAAATCAGCATCCTCCTTTTCTCCATATACAACAGAACTGGAAACTTTGCCAATACAGTCCCCTCTGACCTGTGATTTAGAAAAAAAAACGATCAATGAAACAAAAACCATAAAAAGCTATTTTCAGCTGTTAAGCTAGCAACTGGACTATTACTTCACTCTTGAACCTTAAACCAAAAATAATTTAATAGAAATATGCAGCCAGGATGTTTTTCACTAGCCAATCCAATTAAGCATTAGCTGTCCCTTTCTTCTCTTTCAGCTGGGCTGAAGGATTAACACTTGCATTGTGCTATACAATGGCTGCCCTCTGAGTTTTAGCGAGGGTAAAACTTTCTGCCTTAGGGCAGACTTCCCCTCTTATGCTTAATCTTTTTGATCCATACATCTTTTCAGCATGCATGAAGGAAATGTCTTGACTTGTAGAGAGGCCTTGTGCAGTCTTTCCTCTGTGCTTGTATGACTGCTGTCCCAGGAGAAAGCAAGATGACCCTGGAAGATCTCCTGCTGGGCAGTGGGGTTGTGTCACATATGGAGGGAGAGCTATGACCCTGTCCTGAGAACCACCCTATCACTGTCCTCGAGACAAGACCCTATATAGAAAGCGTGTGGGCAGGCAGGACCCAGATGTGGCCAGGGACCAACCACCCCAAGGGTTTGTTGGACCATATGTGCTTGGTGCCCAGCTACATGACTTTGTAAACCACCATCCATACACAGGCAGCAAAGCAACTTTTGTACTCTGGAAGAGTTACTCTTACGCCTCTTTCAAATCAGCTGTCAGCAAATGATATGACTAGATCTGTTACACGCATCTGCTCTCCTTAGTGTAAACATATTCATTGCTGTTACTGTTACTGCTAGTTCTGGTAAAATGCTGGTACTTTTTATATCAACTGTTTTATTGCTCTAGTTTTCTGCCATCCCAGATGTCCATTCTCCTTTTGAACAGTATTTGAGCTGCAGATGAGTAAGTCCTTTCACCTATACATTCCCCTTATCATGAAGATGATTTCATAAATACCCAAGATCCAATTAGTTTTCTAGAATCCTATTAGCATTGTTGATGTGCTGCTGGTTTCATGCCACTCTAACATAAAAGTTCTGGGTAATAAAATTATTCACTTCCTTCACCATATTTAATATTTCTGTCAAATCATCCACGATTGCTAAAACGAGCTTTCATTATGACAATTTTTCAGTTGTGTTACCCAAAAGGAGATAAATTCAAACAAAAGTATCAGTTACACATCTGTGTTAATATAGCTGAAATCAGGTTGGTTTTGGTTGTATTTTTAAAAAGAAATCTGTTTCCCAGACTTCTTAAATCACATTGTAGGCCATATCCTGACATGTAATATTCCACCATCCCAAACACAACAAATATAAGTCTACACTAAATTGGAGAAGTTTGTGTAAATTAGAATATTTCTTGCCCGTTTGCATGCTGGTTTTTGCCAACCCAGTAAGTGAGCAGTCACAAAGAGCATTTGAAGTAAGACAGACCAATGGACGAACTGACCAAGACCAAGAGAAAACTGCAGTAGGTCTAATTTAACTGGTATTCTAGTTCTTTCCAGATGCTATGTCTCCAGCCCAGTGCTGGCACATGCGACTTTGACATTTGCTTGGCTGTCCTCTTTCATTCCTGCATGTTTAAAACAGACATGCATGGTTGAAGTGCATTTAAACCAGCAGTGTTTTGACAGAGTCCCAAGGGATGACCCTCTGGTATGGCTCTGAGTGTCCCGGCAGCAGTGTGCCCAACTACAGACAGCCATGTTGTTCACACTGCCATGATACTGGGGCAGGGTGCCATCACACCGGCAGGAGCTAGCTGAAAAACAAAACACAAAATCAGCACAGCTGTTCAAATGTGTGGTGGAGTGATCACTCTAACATTTGAACAGTCTTTAAAGGACCATGTTTCCACTACACTTGTGGACAGGAAATTTCAGGACTGGGAGCAAAGCAGCAGGCAGAGGTCAATTTTCATCCTTCTCTTGCGTCTTCCTTCTCACCCAGTCTTCTTATGAAGAGCATTGCAGAGCCGTAGTTCAGACCATAGACACGTTTTACATGAGAAGTTTGAGTGATGGAAAGACATAATGGAATTTGAGTTTATTAGGTTTTTGGATGAGATCATATTATGCATACAGATTAAAGTAATAAACCTTATGTGGATACTTTTAAAAGGCAGATTTATAATCAGAAAGCTTCTCTCCATTACAGCTCTTCTCCATTTAACAGGAGAAAGCTAGAGGCAGAGTTGATGGAATTAACCCTCTTGGTGCTTTCAGATAGATGGGACTGAATTTGAGCTCAAATAAATGGAAACAAACATTTTAATATGAATTAAAAATCACAGTGGAAAAAAGAGTTTAAATGCAGTGACCATAAGGGAATGTAGAATGAATTGACACCACAAAAACTGATGTAGCTTTCCTGGAAAAAGAAAATAGACTAATCTCATTTACATAGGCAAAGTGTGTGTCAAACTAATTGCTTTTTTAAGACATTTTTATTAATAATCAGTAAACCTTAGACTGTTCAACGACTTGCTTGGATAAATAGCCAGTGGCGTCCCTTTTTTGCATTAACCCCCTTGATTATTACCTCTTCAATTTTCTTCATAGTTCATCCCTTTTAAAATAATGATTAGTCTTCTTAAGCTTGGTTCAGTTATATTTTTCTCTTGCCTCTTCCTTTTGCACTCTGTCCCTTCATTGTTCTTTACTTAAATGTAATTTCTTGGTACTGTTAACTTTGACTTCCTTTTCTATTGCATGGTGTATTTAGTCAGATTCTTGGTCACTTTGTTGATCTGGCTTTGCTTCTAACAATTGACCTCTTTATTGTTACAGGCAGTAATAAGTCTGTAATATCTGTCTTTTATGGGCTAACTTTTTTTCAAGTTGGTCTTTTCCATGCAGATTTTATTCATATCAATTGCCTTTCAGCTGAATCACCAATATATCACTTTTCCAAATATTAATTTCAGCAAAAAAGTCACCTCTACTTTAACTTTATTGTAGTCAGAATACCTGCAGATTGGTAAGAATAGTTTTTGTTAGACTCTTTCTTTTTTCAGCTTCAAATGATAATGTTAATCCACATGTTCTCCTTGTCTGTACTTCGGCATCTTGACCACAAACTCTTCTGATTTTTTCTTCATCATTAAGTGCACCGAACATTGTCTAAAAATACTGCTTATGGCTGACAGTCTCTTGACTCACTTCCATTTCAGATTTCATATATTTTCCTCTGAAATACAAATTTAAGCTGATACTATCTTCTTTTACGGAGCGTACATTAACAAAAATATTAATTACTTGTTCTAAAGAACGTGCCTTTTTAAGAGATGCAGGAATGATTACTGCTTATGGGCAAAATTTCCTGAAGCCTTCCCACGCTTCAGGTACACCTTCTTGTTTCTGCTTATGGAAATTAGAATTGCTAAGGGACATCAACAAGAGTCAAGGAA